TGCCAGTTGATGGTACGGTACTCTCGTCAGCGCCAGTGTTGGTACTGTTCCCGGTGGCAGTGCCAAAGGTGGTGCCGGGCATGATGAGCCTATCGGTGCCGATGCCACAGTCAGCACCGATGCCGTCAAGGAAGACCGAGCTAGTGTCACTACATGGTGTGGTACCAGTCGGTACACCGTCAGTTGTCAAGGCAGTGCAGCCATAGGGTGCGGTGCTGATTGGTCCAGCAAGCGGTCCAGGAAGTGGCAGCAATGACCTCGATGAGGTTGAGGCTGGTGCCCACTCTGCTTCTACTGTCGGTGCCTGTAGAGGTGGTGGCATAGGCAGCAATACTGGCGATGCCTGTGGAGCGGTTGAAGGCCCCAGTGCGGACCATGGCACCCACTCCAGGGGGGCAACCGGTGCCAAGGTGGCCCCCGGTGTCAGAGGGTGCGACCCCTCCAAGTCCAACGAAGACTGTGGAGAAACCATGAAGTGGATCAACTCCTGGGCCGCCTCAAATGTCTCCGGCGTGGATGGTCAGTGCAGTGGCATCATGCCTGGGCTATTTGGGTGGTCAGCAGCCTTTTTCTGGGTCCCTGAGGCAGCGGCACCAGGAGGGTTCCAGTCGGATGGCCGATTCCGGTGGTGCCAGCCCACGTGGGACTTACGGTTCGGCGAGTGGTGGCTTTGGTACCGATGCCTTATCCCATGCCGGAGCGCCACATGTCAACGCCGGTGCACTGAGTACTGTGGCCTGAGGAATCAGTGCTGATTGAAGCACCGCTTCCATTAATAAAAGTTTTAAACGAGAATTTCTCTCTTTTTTAGTGTGCGGCTTGAATGCCCTACAGATCTTACAGGTGTCTGCCAGGTGGGCTTCCCCAAGACACTTTAAGCAGTCATCATGGGGGTCACCCTTGGGCATAAATTTCACACAGGATGCACAAGTCTTAAAACCCTGAGGCCCTGGCATTCCCCACCCCCATAGGAGGGAGAGAACAAAACAAACCTTAACATAACCAAAACGTACCTAAGTACGTTTGTAATGTGAACTATTTACACAAGAAAGCCAACTGGCGAACAACACTACGCTATCTATCACGCTCCAACAACCTTCACAGGCGGTAAGAAGGAACTGAGGAGGGGGAGCGCCAGCAGATGTACTTATGCTTCGCTATAGCGGCGCCACTCCAGGGGGCGACCTGCCTGCACTATGGGTACCGCTAGGGGAAAAACGCTCTGGAGAACCGTGCATACGGCACGTGCACACCTCATTCGAATGGACATAAGCAACCACTCGAAGAATTGCTCTTTCTAGCTTCAACATACGATCGATGGCAACACAGTGACCTTTTTTCAAACGCGTTCCCTGGAGTAGGAGTGATGGCAGTCGTAGTAAGTACGACCATAGTGACATTCACAGCATGGAGAATATTTAGGCGAGTATCTACTTCAGTGTGCATAATGGTATCAGAGTAAGATGAGAGCGTAGGAGATCTTGGTGATTGTGATCTTCCCCTTGGATGCACAGGAGACAATGATACCTGCCGATGTCAATAAAGAGTAGGGGAGGCATGTGTGGATGGGTAATGATGTAATCTCGGAAAATGAAACCTCAACATGTTTCCGGACCAAACAGAGCAAACCGACAACAGTGAAGGTGGCTCCGGGGAAAAAGCAATATGGTTATGGTTGGAGAGGGAGTAAGTGGTCTCCAAGACTTTTGTCTAGACTTAGTCGGCACCGGGGATTGGTTACGTGGCACTTTGGCTGCAGTAGCTTGCACAGCCGGGGTCAGTGCCAGGCACAGTGCCAGTGCCCTGCATGGTGCTGGTGCTGGATCGGTTGGTGCCAGCGCTTCAGTTGACGGCTGACGGCGCTGCTTGAGTCATCAGTGCTGAGACAGGAATCGGCGCTGCTCTAGGTGCCTTAGAAGCCAGCAGTGCCAATTCCCTGGGCAGGGCTGGAATCGGTGCAGATGTGCTTCGGCTCGTCTTCTGCTTTTCGGGATGGTGGGTGGTAACCGCACCTTAGGTGCCCAGCTTCTCTCCCGTGCTGACCTGCAGTGGTGGTAATGAGCAGGATGGCAAGGGCCCTTCCTTGAATGAGCTGCCTGTCGGACTCTGGAGATTTCTGGGAAATATGCCCCTCACCAAGGCACCGAATGCAATGGGAGTGCCCATCTGAGGCGGGTATAGGCTCCCAGCATGAGCCACACTTTTTAAACCTGGGGGATCCCAGCATACTTGAAATGATGCAGTTTACTCACGTGACTTGCTTTCTTTTTTTTTTTTTTTTTTCTTAACACGAACAAAGTACAACTACCACTACTAAACAAACTATAAGAATACTATAACTACCTACCTACATCTTCAATTCCTGTCAGGTTTCCTGAGGAGAGGGAGCTCACTCCGTCTGCGACCAAGGACAGTTAGGAGGAACTGGCGGGAGCTGGACGGCGCAAACAACATGAGATGGCAGGTGCGTATGCGCAGTCCAGTGGACCACTAACAAACCTCTGATCTGCAGTGCCAGAACCAGCCCAACACCTACAATGGAGCACCCACAGGGACACTACTCGAAGAAGCAGCAGTCATTTAAGTATCAAGTAACTCTCTCTCTGCATCCCACCCTGAGGTGATATGTACCCAGTCAATATGGGACCAGTTGAAATCCCCCCTAGTACTGAATTTTTTTATTTTTATAGTCTCTTTAATCTCCCTTGCACTTATTTGAGTTAAAGGGGAAAAAGTACTTTCCCTAGAATGTAAGCACAGTGAGTTCAAATCCTCTACCTAAGTGATTTGGAATCTCTCCCACTAGATGGCAATATTGCACAGTGCTTGCTCCAGAGTCAGGTGCTGAGAATGGACATGCTCAGTGCAAGGTGGCAAAACCAGGATTGGAGCTCAGAATTGACATGGTTCACGTACAGCACAAATACTGAAACTGTATTATCTCCATTGGGTGCTCTCATCTAAATGAAAATATTTCATTGAGATTAATGGGACAGGTCACAACTCTGAGGCTCCTCTGGTGCATTGCGCAGAGATCTGGGATAAGTATTCTGGATCTCCACTCATTACACCTGCTCCTTGTCTCATAAGGAGGGCCAGACTGAATCAAACCAAAGATTCATTTAACCCAGTGTCCTGTCTTCCAACAGCCACCAATGCCTGGTGCCCCAAAGGGAACGAACAGAACACGAATCATCAAGTGATCCCTCCCTGGTCACCCTTTCCAGCTTCTGGAAAACAGAGACTAGAGAAACCATCCCTGCCCACCCTGGCTAATAGCCATTGATAAGACCCACCCAGCTAATACATGCACTTCTCAGATCTCACTATCTGCCCTCCTCTCTGAGGCGCCTCCAAGCTTTCCAGGGATATGCAGTGTCAAGAAGGAGAGTGCAGTTAGTAGGAGCTGGCAGCCTCAGGGCAGTGAGGTGTGGAGAGGATGGTCAGAAGAATGGATGAACAGGAGGGAATGTTGGAGCAATGTGAAGGGGCCCATCCAAACTCTGTTTTTGAAAAGCAGTTCAATGACTAGCACATTGAGAAGGGAAGATTGGACTGGACTGGACAGGCAAAGAGATAAGATATTGCAGAAGCGGTAATGTAACTAACATGCAGCCAGTGCATTCTGGGGTAGGGGTAATTGTTGCCAAGTAGTCAGAAGCAGTGGAACATAGAGATAAGAATTTTTTTTAACTAAAGTAATTAACTGTCCAAAAACATTATTAACAAAGAAGTAAGGTTACTATTGTGCCCTTCAAAAATATGAAGAGAAGCTAAACATAAACATCTGAAAACCAGGAAATACAAAGTTAAGGATACATGTCACTCCTCCAATACATTGTGAGTGGGGCGTAGTATCCAGTCAGAAGCATCAGGTTTTAGCCATGTCTGGATGCAGCATGTTAGACTTAATAGACTGCTTCTGTGTGGAAAATACTAGTTTTCTTTTATCCTGTTATCCAGGAAATTAAGTTGGATTGTTGAGCAAGAATTTCAGCAAAGCCAGGATAAGGATAAAAAAGTACTGGTAGTATTCCAAAAGACATGATCCCTACATTCCTTCTCAAGCAAAACTCCCAGTGACTTCAATATTTTTTAGTAAAATCTAAGCAAAGTTTACAGGATCTAGCCCACAGTAAGGGCAATTTACAGGCAAGTGAGACATGAGAGGAAGTTAGATTTCCAAGTCAAGGTAGCTTCCCAGACTGCTGTCCTTTCGACATGTACATATACATTATGCACTTCCCTATTCCTTTCCCAGATATTTCTGCAGCAGAATGGCTACACTGCCTGTGACAAAGCTCCTCCTCTGCCTAAGCAGGTCCTCCAATTTTGGATGGATTGCTCAACTCACAAGCTCATGGCAGCCCTCAGTTTAGTCCTTTCAACGGTGGCACAAATATACTGTTCATTCAGCTGTCCTCACCATTGGTCAGCATGAAAAAGGAAGAACAATTCCCACACTCTAGGCTGCCCCTAGGCTCCCCACAGGTCAACTCTTCTGTGGCTAGCAGGGAGTTGGAGGGGATGAGGGTAACCCAGGCCCACCCTATACTCCAGGTTCCAGCCCAGGAGCCTTGTGGATAGTCTACAATATCTCCTGTACCAACTGTGAGACAGCAATGATTCCCTGGGCCATTTCTCTACTGCTCCTCCCCAGTACCTTCTTTATCCTCACTGCAGGATCACCTTCCTGATACCTTAGTATTTTTTCTGCCAGGTCCTCCACAGCACACCTTCTTAGCCCCAAGTTCCTTTCATGCTCTGAACTAAGTGAAAGAAAGTTTTTTTAACCAATACTGGGTGTCCTGATTAGCCTGCCTGTCTTAACTGCCTCTAGCAAGTTCTTGATTGGCTCCAGGTGACTTAATTGCTCTGGAGTAGCCTGTTAGCTTACCCAGGGAAAAGAGACCTGTTTAATCTGGGGGTAAAGTACCTGTTTTCTACCACTCTTCTGTAGCTATTTGGCCTGACCCCATTACACATCAGAACAGATATACCTGAGTTATGTCTTTTATCACCTGATGAAGGGAAAGGGTCTCTTCTTTGGCATCCCTGATCAGTGAAGCTTTATATTCTACTGCCAATCGACTGGCCTCCTAGAAAGAGAATAAAAAGAGGATGAGTTGGAGCATTCCCATCTCCCCATTTGCCACTGCATCTCAGCACCAAACTGAAGGGCCAGCTCTAATGATGAACGAGTACAATGGCAAAGCTCTGGCCACCCTCTGTGGGTCTTGTGCTACTGGCAGATAATGCTAGCCTCAGAGGCTCGCTGTGCCCCTCCACACATCCTAATTCTCTTTACTTGAAACAGGAGCCACAGCCTACTGAGCCATACTCATCACAAGCTAGTGCATAGTTTTTTTGGGGAGAAGACCCCTCTGGAGCCCTGATCTCCCTTCTCACAGGTAGATTTTGTGATGTTGTGGGGAGGTTTGGGAGGACCCGGGCCCACCCTTTACTTCGCTTCCAGCCCAGGGACCCTAAGGCAGTGGCAACAGGCAGGGCTACTGCCACTCCCAATCTGGCAAATTCCCTGGGCCACCTCCCCAAGCATTCCCTCCCAGCACCTTTCCTTTGGCACCTGCTAGTCAAACCTCAGCTCACACCCACACAATTCTTCTACACTGTCCTTCCTCCTTTCAGTCCTTCGCTCTTTGCTACCCCATTCTTTACTTGGAAGGAAACTTTTTAAAGAATAATAGAATCATAGACTACTAAACTGGAAGGGACCTTGAAAGATCATTAAGTCCAGTTCCCTGTCCTCATGGCAGGATCAAGCACTGTCTAGAACATCCCTGATAAAGGTCTATCCAACCTGCTCTTAAATATCTCAAGTAATGGAGATTCCACAACATCCCTAGGCGATTTATTCCAGTGTTTAACCACTCTCACAGTTAGGAAGTTTTTCCTAATGTCCAACCTAAACCTCCCTTGCTGCAATTTAAGCCCATTGCTTCTTGACCTATCCTCAGAGGCCAAGAACAACAATTTTTCTCCCTCCTCCTTGTGTCAGACACCCTTTTAAATACTTGAAACCCGCTATTATGTCCCTGTAGTAGTTTGTGCCAGCGCAAGGCCACACTGACGCACTACAAGCCACCAGAGTTCAGGGCCTCAGGCCTGACTGCAGGCTGAATATCAGTTTTAGAGGCTTCACCGTTGTTCAGGGCGGGGCAGAAAACAACAGTTAAGCAGTTTAGAGTAAGCTTAGCAGTTTACGAGCCCAGGCCCTGGGTTAGGGCAGGGCAACAAACTGGTAAACAATAGTCTGCTAGGCTGCACAGCAGTTTATGAGCCCAGGCCCTTGCTCAGGGCAGATCAACAAACAAACAGTTAAACAGGTAAGTAGTCCAAAAGGTTCAAGGCGCAGGCTGAATCAGGGGTTGCATCTCCTTGCTGGCAGAAAGCTGACTCGTGCAGGGTTTTTTCTCCCTGTAGGGGGGGAACCTGCCACCCAAGGGAAGGGATGGCGGGGGGCGCGCAGGCCCGCCCGCTCCACAGCATCCCAGCCCAAGGCACTAACAGTGGCAGTGCAGCAGGCACTGGGTCAGTGGGGATCCAAGCCACAACACACTGCCCAGCTGACCTCCATTTCCTCAGCCACTCTGGGGTTGGCTGTCCCTGGGCCACTTCATTTCCCTTGGGGGCCGTGGCTCGGACGCGGCTCCTCAGGATCAGCTGGGGACAGAGGTGCCGGCAGCATGTCCATCAGTTCTAGGTCCTGGCAGTCCAGCCCACTTGTCTGAGCGGGACAAGGGTCAGAGGGGGTCCAGAGGAATTTGCAGGCCTGGGCAGCAAACCCCACAGACTGGTCTTCAATTATCAGGACCCAGCAGTGGCCCAGGCAGCCCAACCCAGTACTCCCGCTGAGGGCAACGTAGCAAAGCCTTTCTCCTCTGGGGCTGGGATAAAGCCTCTGGCCTGCTTGTCAGCCAAGCTCTAACTGAGCTTGGAGCTCCTCTTTTTATACCTCTAGCCCCACCTTCCTGTGGGCTGGGCTTGGTGGTTCTGGCACTGCCCACCAAGGGATCCTTGGGGGAGTTTCCAGGTCACCGGGAGGTCACGATGACTCACTACAGTCCCCTTCTCGGTCTTCTCTTTTCCAAACTAAAGCTTGTTTAGTTTGAGAAAGAAGACTGAGAGGGGACATGATAGTGGTTTTCAAGTATTGTGGCAGAGTCAATCCCACTCTTTGGCCCCTAGCCCCTCGTCAGGCCACTGTCCCACAATTTAGGAGTCGCAGTATAAGATTCACTCGCCTTGTTTTGGTATTTGGTGTCTCCCTGCAGCCTTTATCAGGGCTGCTGCTGGTGCTCTACTTGGTTCCTCTGGTCTCCTTATTCGTTGTCTTTCTCCACACCCCAAACCGCTCCTTCAC